AAAAATCAAACATATCAAAGCTTGAATTAAATTCCAGTAAGGAATGTATCTAAAGAATGTTTTCTAACAGCGTACTTTCAACAGTGCTTCTTCCAGACATTTTTACGCTATATACAGCTTAGAACATAGCGACTTTTCTGGCTAATTTATCTTCTGTTCAGTCGATATATGAAAAAAATTTTCAGGTTAATGTACTTTATAAAACAACATATTCTTTTGTCAAATATAATTTATAAGCCAGAAAGAATGGTACTTTGATAAATGTATCTGGAGTACATCGAACGATTTATCCCTAAGTTAGCAAATTCATATAAACTGGAAATTGACTCATTATTATGTAAATCAGGACTGTTTCATTACCCTTATAACAAATAAAAAGATCGACTCATTGTTGTTTATGAGTATTTAAACCATATCAAAATGCCATTTCGATTAAAAATGGGAAATAAGTAGGATTGACCTCTACGTTATAAAATAATTCTGACGAATAAGAGCAGAAAAAACTATATTCTGTTGAAAACACATATAAATCAACATAATAAGTGCACAAAAACTCTGTTCTACTCGTTCATAATTCATGATCACGATGGCTAAAATCTGTTTGCTTCTACGTACAAAGTACAGATATCAGTCAGTCACAACGTAGAACTTCGTACGTACGTACGTACATACATACATCAGTTCTAGTTGCCATACCACATTAGCACAGAGATGCAGTTGTCAATTCAAATCCCATATTGATAGAAGTAGTAAGAGTATAAGCAGAAATCTGAAAGATTAGGGTTTGAAGATGTTATTCAAGGAGTATAATACAGTGAAATACACTTGGAAAGCGAAAAAAGATAGGGACATGAGGGATTCAGAAGATTAGAATTTGGAAGAACACAAAGGGTAAATGCACCTCCACCATTGCAAACGATTTTGAGCAATGTCATTCAAGGTCTCCAACCATCGGTTGCTATCGTCTCGTGGATCCCAACCAGGTAGTCTACACCTACCAACACGGCTCAGTCCACCTCCCAGTGACTTCATGGACTTGTGCCATGTTTTGGTCTGGCCGCATCTAGCTTTCTTCCAATCTACTACTGCACTATAAAACATCGCTCGTTGGGGCAGTCGGTGGTTGGGTATGCGTAACACTTGTCCCAGCCATCTCAACTGATGAAGTTTCACCACTTCATCAATCGACTTGCCATCCTTAACTAGTACCCGTTTCCTAACATCTGCATTACTTACCCGGTGGTCCCAGGATATACGAGCAATGAGTCGAAGACATCTATGATCGAATACTAGTAGCCTACGAATATCCTCTACTTTTACCGGCCATGATCCCTGAAGTGTTCTGCCCATCGATCCAATCTCCTGGATTGAGAATGAATAATATGTCCATCTTTTTCCGAGATAGTCTCGCCAATACTTGAGTTCCTATTACCGTTTTCTTTAAGAAGTCTGAACAGTTGTCTGCTGTTGCCTGTTTCCGCTGCCTTTCCCATCTCTCTTGCTTTCGCTACCCACCACTGTTCGCGATCATTGCATAGACTTCTTATTAGCCTGCACTTAAACTGAATCCGCTCTTCGTTATGTTTACAGCCAGATGGAATGAGTTTTTGTGCATCCATCTGTGCAGTAGATGCTACTGAAATCCAGTATTTCTCCCTAACCTTATGGTTTATCTTACTAGCAGATAGCACTGCTGTTTTCACAACTTTTCGGATATCATTTCAAGCTGCCTCGGGGTGGGCACAACTTACATGGCCGCCTAGCTGTTTTCTAATTGTTCCTGAAATATATTCTTAGCTTGCCTATCATTAAGTAGAACCCTGAGAGGCTTTCTCACAGCGTCTTTCCTACGTCCAGCAAGACGGAGACAAATACGTGCCCGCACTAGAGCGTGATCTGAATCTAAGCATGTGCTCCAGAATGAGAGACAGTCTTCTGTCAAGCCCTTTCATCGGTGGATGATAGCGATATGATCTAGTTGGATCCAACTGTGGAACGAATTCGGGGGTCATCATGTCAAAAGATGTTTTTCCTTGTGCTTAAAGTTAGTATTTTCAAGAAACAGGCGGTTATTTGAGCATAGCTGCATCAGACGGTTGCCATTATCTGTGCTTTGAGCCACGACACCGTAAGATTTACCCAGGTATCTTTCCTTTTCGCTTAGTCTACCTACTTGAGTATCATAGTCAACAGACCCTCTTAAAAGCTTCTACATGTAGTTTAGAGCGTGGTTTCAGGAGACCAAGAATTACGTTCCACGTACTCAAATCGTTTGCATTAGCGGTGCGAGGTGATAAAAGGACATGAAAAGGGTTAGTCGTGGAGATAAGAGAGTTATTAGGAGGTGTAGGAAGGATTTGAATGTGACCATCTTGGTCTCGTGTGCTAATACGGGTATGAGGGCTGGTGTTCATTCCAGCCTGCCCACACCGTGGAAGGGTATTTCTTGGGGAAACTAAAAAGGAAGTTGGATTAATGTTGGTCTTAACGACCTGGGAACGTGACCACAGAGCCCAAGAGACAACTACTTGAAACCGGTTACGCACGGCCTTTTTGTGGGAGATTTTTGACATGTTAGCTACGTTCTTCAAACGGCCTTACCACCGGAGACGGAAATCCTTGAGATGAGGTGAGGCGTGACATTTTTGGGGTTGACCTTTCCTAACCCCTTCTTTTCTTATGAGAAGGTAGCATCGCTGTTATTCTGGTTGTCTGAGAGAAACACTTTATTGCTGTCACACTCCTCTACAGTCAGCAGTACGACTTCGCCCCCAGACCTTGAGTTGCTGCTTTTAGTCTTACCGTTCTTCTATCGACCTGCCTGGCATGGTAGAACCTACAGAAACACAAGTTCCAGCCAATGTAGCTCGGTTGGGTCATCACCATAGGCAAGCCCGACCGCCACGTCAAGGTAGCAGTTACGGTTGGGAAAGTACAGGTGTACAAAATATAGCTCTCACTTAGTGAACCAGTTTCAAGGCTACCTTAAGCTGCTCAAACCAGAAGTATGTCACATACACTTTCAGCAAGAATACTTTGGTTCGTAAAAATTCGAATCATCTGAGAACTATAGGCGCACAACATAGGTCGTTTGATCTATTCAAGAATCAGAAGTAGGTTATGGGCTACTTACATATTAAAACATTGTTGGAATTACGATAGCGAGGAGTATCAAAGGTCACCCGAATACGGTAAGGAAATTACAAGGGTCCCCTCGGACAAATGAAACCGGGATGTAGAATAGGCAAATAAAACTACTGATGTTAACCATCATTCTTATTGGTATCCAGACACTCTACATAGCTTCTGACTGTTCGAACGATCGTTGTTATGTTAAGGTAGCTGAAGCCTTCGATTGTTTCTAATTAGTCGAATAGTGACCACCAGTACACAATTTTTGATACAAGTTATCAATGACTGTTGTTACAAATGACATATTCAGGCTGGACATAACTGCAGACGAACGCGGTCGGATAATGGACATCTTCGAGCTAGTTTGATCCAATTCTAGATGCTTGGTCGATGAGACATTTAAAGATTAAATTTATACACGGTTTGATAGTAATAGATGTTTACTCCTAAAGAAGGTTTATATTCCTGTACAAGACTGAGAAATTTAGTAACGACTACACCTGAAATCTTGTTCAAGCAAAATGCAATTGACACTGTTGCTACGATTTCTCTTTTATGACACATTAAAAAACAAAAGGCTACAAACCAGGTCCGATATATTTATTGCTTAGTCCTACGGTATCTCGTCATAAGAAGAATGTAGTCTTGAATTAATTACGGCCTCGGGTGTTGTCCTTCATGATTCAGATTGGCATTGAAGCACACAATCATTTGCGGCGTTCTCAATGTTAGGCAGACTGTCACACGTATGGATAAATTCGACAGACATCCTCTAGGCCGGACAAAGCTAGGATATTACTTGTACCTAACCATGTAAATGAATTAAAGAAGACATGTTTAATTAGAATTCAAAGGTAGTGAATTGTTAGTTATGTGAGGAGGCTTATTGATCCCTAGAGAACACAAACTACTTTCAGACGAGCCTTGCGTAAACTTTAGCCTTCCGGCCGTGAAACTTAAAGATCTTTTTGTGTATGACTCATGGAGTTGGATGTAAACAAAAGTAAACGTTTTCTTAACGATATCTGCTTATAAGAGCATTTAGTGTTTTTGAGTGGTCTAAGGTCTGTAAACAAGTTTCCGATAGGAACCGCTCCCTTAGAATTTTGATATCTTTGCCAAAACTAACACAAGTTTTTGATAATACTTCATTTGTTAAGTGACAAGTAAAGAATTACTGCTATCTGTCTCATCTCTAAAGTTTCGAATTACACACTTTTTATGAATCTGACTTACAACTTGTGGGCCTAAAAATTCAGCCGGTGCTGTACAGATGTGTACTTTCACAAATATCCACCGTGGATAATATGTTGCAGCATGATTTATATATTTATTCTAGAGACACAATTCACGATTGCATGCTTCCAAGGTACCGCTTAAAAAAATTTAAGCATTTTACATAAAATTTTAAAAAATCCCAACCACATAGTCTGCATTTCAATATTAATAAACCATAAATATTTATGTTTACTAACTTTCAGGATGTCTAATCGTTGTTGTGTTACCATTCATGAACACTATCAACTCTGCATTCCGCTCCCTTTCACGTTTGTTGAAAGGTCTAATACGAACTGCCACTTTAACTCTGAAAATAATTTTTGAGTAAAAGAATCACAAACTGTTCTTCAGACATTGCGCAGTAACAAAATACTAAATTGAATTAAAGCCAAATGGAATCCAATAGCTAGGTGCATTAAAAAAAAACAAGGATTACCTTTCTGAGCTGTAACGGAAAGTGCTTTAGATTTCACGTCGTAAATTTTACACTTGATAATAATATTATTAAATTAATTGTTTAAATCGTAATTTCTGAAGGTTATCGACTTTTGGTGAATCGTTTAAACCTCCACTTTTAGTATGTAAAAGTAATGACAGAGGCTGAAACTAATGGAAAGGATATCACTGTTTTAAATCCTGGCAAGTTGAAAAAGAGTTCAAAACGACAAAATCTTCCTCATTTGGATCTATGCCCAAGAGAAAAGCAATCGTATCTCAACAGCATTTCACGTATTCATAAAGGAAGGTTGCTCAAGGAAATAAAAAAGGGCCAAAGTAATATAAAACTCCCATTGCCACCAAGAAAAATTAAATTTAAACCAATTAGATGTAAGTCTGCATCTCAAAGTCCCACTTCGCCAATTCATTCTTCCTGCTGTAATTCAAAGCACAACGGCCGATTCCCTAGCACTGCTGAAAACCGCCTCGTATTCAATAAGAACGGAAGTATTTCAGTTGAAAAAAATAAACGAACACCACATCGAGATGTCCATGTGGATTTACTGAATCTGCCCCCTATTCCCTTAAACCTAAAAATGACAAAATCCTTCTCATCAAATCAAGTAAATTTTTCATGCTCATTCAATTCGAGGATCACTACAATTACAGAGAAAGACTTGGACTTGATTATCCCACAACTAATAAAACGCCGTTCAAATTCAGGTTCTTGTTGTCATGTTCATTGTTTTTCTCCATATTTTGAAAATTTATCCGAAACGTCTGCACATTTTGCACCTGTCCGAACGACAAGTATACACACCTTAGAAACACTATGGTGTAGAAAACGTCAGGAGTTACAGAACAGAAATAGTACGGAAATCAAAAGAACAAAAATGAGAGCACAACAATCTATCAGAAGTCCTTCTCTTTATGGCCCTTTCACTCAACCAAGAACGATTTTCAATGATATGGAAAAGCGAGGTTTGCTACAGTGGTCCCATAGTAATCCAGTGTCAAATTATGCCGAGTTGCCGGTTGCATACTGAGAAATAAGACCAATATGTACTGGTAAACATTTTTTGACAAAACAGTTATATTATCACTGGTGCCTAAATGTTCAGCAGTTTCCATGTGCCTTTTGATACATATGAAATAGAACATTCTTTGAATAATTTTGACTAGCACCAAATTTAAAATGCATGAACTTCGCTAAATTCACTATCGTTTCCTCTGTCAGTCGTATTTTTTGTGTAGCAGCAACTATTTAAAATATATTTTTTGTTGGCCGCATTCTCCTAGAGCCACTCTTCCGGATTCACTTACCATTTTTCTATCGATAATTTACTCATTAAGTGTGTTCTGGAAGGCACTCATTCATAGATAGAAATAGATATCAATGTGACATAAGTAAGATGTCACTTCCTCCACTTACCGAATCTCGTATGTCTGTTACATTTTACAGTGCAGGAAGACTAACTAGAATTTATGTGTCTCTTTTAATGTGGAACCTAATTCCTGAAAGTTTGCTTGCAGTCACTATAACTTAACATTGAGTGTTCAGATGAAAACGCGGTTTCAAAATATTCTAGTAACAAAATTTAGTGGTATGAAGACACAATATGTAACAAATTATTACACAAAGCAATAACCAGGTGATAGTTATATGTTCAGTTAACATCAAAGTCCTACGTGACCTTTTCGCAGAGGTCTGAAACCAATTTTCGAGGCTATTGCTTGCCTACAGCTAACTAACCACACGTTAATATCGTTCACCATAGTAAAACTACCGGTTGGAAATACCTTCACATTACGCCCTCTAATGTTAATGAACTGGAACTAGTAGAGCCAGTAGTACAACAAGGACTTCTAATTTCCATTTTTATGTAAACGGTGTAATAGATTTTAAGTGTCAGATTATATGTAATATAACTGCACACGTTCAAGAGAATAACATCCTGGTTTAGACAGTTTAACCTACTGAAAGAAGTCTGGGTCGGGATGACCGGTGAAGATTTAGGCTTACCTAATTTCAGATGTGATAACACCTCGACTTTATTGGTTGTCGACTATAAACTTCAACCTTCTTGCCTTAATACTTCTCTTATTAGAAGTTTCCAGAGTCTAGGTGTTTCTGATGTGATATGAGCTCTTTGGTTTTGCTTTAACCCCTACTGATACTGGAAAAGTAAGTTCAAGTGACAGGAAATGAATTCACAATATTAAGGAAGTTGCCCTGTAGAGTCAGAATGCTGGCCGGAAATTTAAGGCTGCAGATGCACGAAATCTTGTGTCAAAAAGTAGTTGATTAAACCTCCAATCTATAAAACTTTTCTACATCATATGAAACTTCCTCATTATTTTTTTCGGGGTAGTAATGCCTCTTTAATAGGTAGAATAAAGAGCTTAAATTAATCTGTGATATCCAGAATGTTCGTGTTTAAACTCCAAGGTAACTAATGTGGTGATGGGAGGGATTTTTAAAATCAGTTAGTGGAAGGGCTTGCATGGATACGAGTTTTATGTTTTAATACATTCCGTCTACACAAATTCACTGTGTCGCCTTCAAATTTCTTCGAGAATTATGTCTATCTTTACTTTTCATCTTGTTAGGCTAACGCTATTTGATATGTTTAAGCTAAGTAAATGAACCTGTTGTCTTAATCGATCATTTTCAATATCGATCATTTTAGTTAGTCTGTTGTACTTTAATAATGATATGTCAATGGTTTTAAACTTATATAGGACATTGTCCTTAGATATAATAGAGAAAAAGTCACGTAGTAATCTGAGTATTAAACATACTTTAAGCCTATACATCAAAAGATGTTTTATAAGTCCAAATGTATATGAAGGATAATGGAACTTTTGGTGTGAAACGTTATGCATATTGTGCAGAAGTACTTAATTAACGTTTTTCAGTATATAAGGTGACTGCAAGAATATAAGGACTCAAAAACCCAAGTCTGACAGAGATTTTTGTGTTGACTGATTTGTTCCTGTGGCCTTTAGCTTAATCACAAAGTAACAGACCTTGAAAAAATTTTATGTACTATCTAAAATAACTTGGCCAACATTCGCTCTCAGTCACGTCTGGGACTTCTGTACTCTTGGAAAAAAAGCTGGTGGACTGTCGGGAGATAAACGGTTCTTATATAGGCTTAGTTGAGTGAGTTTGCTGTCTGGTATTCTGTTATTCATAAGTATGCTGTTCGTAATTTATTTGTACATCAATCAAAAGATTTGACCGTGGGACAATCGAACCACACCGAATGTCGAATTAAGAAGGATAAACCAGGAGTGTAATACCCTCCATTTTACCAGTTCTAATGATGTCTCCTCAATTTGACCAGCATCACTGATAATTCTCTACACAAAATTTGCGATGTAGTCACGTATGCGTAGCTTCATGCAGAAAAATGAAGTAGGCAGATTAACCAGGATAACACACCAATCGCCTAGAAAGTTGAGAAATTCCACCGTAAACAGCAAGTCAACTAACCTATCCGCAGTCTATATGTTGAAGGTAAACGCATTCTATCAAAGTATGATGTATGAATCGACGCTCACTTCTTCAGATGACCCTCACATTGAGCACTGTGTTGATATTAACCTTGAAGTATATAATGATAGTTATCAGCAGTGTGTATTTTGGTTGACACCAACTAAGTTCAAAACTTTAAATTTTCTTGTTTCAATGACTATTTTGTCGAATAAATAATAATGAACGTACGTGATGGGGTTTAAACCGGACTTCTCGACTTAAAAAAGACTTCATTTGCATGAAATCATTAAAAATGCTATTTATTATCGTCACCCATCTATAGACGTTCTGTAGCACATTTGTTAAAGAAAGTTGTTGTTCCATGCAAGCAATTGAAATGAAATTTTGTCTTAAACACTTGTTTGTTAGCTACGGCTTTAAAGACTAATGGACAAGGTTAATTAACAGTGTTACACAGCTGGATCTGCCAATCACTGTATGGTTCACACAAGCTCGTAAGTGTGTTATGAACTCCTACATGTTGTTCAATCATGTGAAAGGTTATACAAATATAAGTACCTTGATTTGTACAATTAAGTGCTTGCAATATTGCGTGGATCCTGAATGGTTAAATGAGAATCGGGGTTGGCCACAACAGTTGTTCAGCCAACCTGTCTATTACGTTTTATGAATGTATTGGCACCGCATTGTTCAGAGCTAAAGGAAAGCGATTTCAACCTGGGAGGGGGAAGCCTGAATTAAGAAATAAGATATGACAAAATTATGAGGAATACCTAAAGGCATAGTGGTATAGGTAGTAAGAGTATAAGCAGAAATCTGAAAGATTAGGGTTTGAAGATGTTATTCAAGGAGTATAATACAGTGAAATACACTTGGAAAGCGAAAAAAGATAGGGACATGAGGGATTCAGAAGATTAGAATTTGGAAGAACACAAAGGGTAAATGCACCTCCACCATTGCAAACGATTTTGAGCAATGTCATTCAAGGTCTCCAACCATCGGTTGCTATCGTCTCGTGGATCCCAACCAGGTAGTCTACACCTACCAACACGGCTCAGTCCACCTCCCAGTGACTTCATGGACTTGTGCCATGTTTTGGTCTGGCCGCATCTAGCTTTCTTCCAATCTACTACTGCACTATAAAACATCGCTCGTTGGGGCAGTCGGTGGTTGGGTATGCATGTGCTCCAGAATAAGAGACAGTCTTCTGTCAAGCCCTTTCATCAATGCGACGAAAGTTTTGGTATTCTTCCCTACAAACTTGCATGCCTCATTAAAAATGTTATTTAAGAATAAATTACTATTATTATCATATCAAGTCTGCTGACTAAACCGGATAGTGAACCCATCATCATCCACTGTAAGGATAAGCTAAACGTAATGTACTTCGATTTTTTGAAAGTCTTCCTTAGGGCCTATAAATAATCTCGAACTTATGATACACTGGTTTAAGCCATGTCCAAATGTTTGACGAATTTTCCATTTTTTGAGGCCACAGAACGTTCATGTACAGTTGCTACAGATCCATCACTAGGGGCTTTTCTCTTGACAGTTTACACAAATAATTCTTCTCAACAAGTACGTTCCGAGATATCAATTTTTGTTGACGAGAAAAAGGATAGTTAAACCCTGACCATGAGTGACGTATTACTTTGCAGCTATTTCGTCAAGACACCTGAGAACCATGAACCTTAAGGCTATTCCTGCTAAGTCTAAAAATTGGAACCTTCCTCAGTAGCTCGAATTGTAAGAAATATACAGGGGACTGCACTACTACTTGTAGATGTGCGTCTACTTTTACGCTCAACATTAGCAAACTTATCTTAAGCAATCTTTCTTCGTCCAGTAGTGCAATCAGTCAATCCAAGAACACAACTGAGAGGCAGCTGCATCTAGGCATGGCCACTTCAAATCACCACAATACGAAGCCTCTTAGAAATGACAAGACGTGTCCCAGGAACTAATTCGTTTCTAAATATGACCCAAGCACAATTCTTGATATCCAAGTTGTAACACTTTACCGCATTCACCCACAAGGTTAGTAAGCCACATAACACGCATAAAAAACAAACCCTTCTAGTTTTTACAATGGAAACTTGAACCATCTGCATCACCAACAATCTAGCAAACCGTACGCGACTTCGGTTATATACCTTGAGATATAGAAACTGGTAAAAATGATATAGTAATGCACCATAGTCCTGCTGATAATAGATTCAGTACAGGCTTGCTTAGCGGGCCTACCAACGACTTAAGGCAATGTATAAGCACGCATCGCTTTGCAAAATGAATATTTTCCTTTTTCTCTTTCTTTCCCCTCACATAAAGTTTATTGCTACTTCTCGAGAGTTTCTAAGAAAAATACAACATTTTGTAGTGAACCTATCGAAAAAAACTGACCCTTCAAATTATTTTAACTTCACCCGCGTATATATATTTTTTACGAATTAATATTTGGCAATAACTAAGACTAATCACGTTATTCTAAATTACTGCTGAATAAACTCTTGCCATACCTTCAAACCTCACTACATTAATGATTTACTTTAAATTCCTTTGGTGATATATATGTTACCGTTTATTCTTATTCTGTTTCGGAAGCATAGGTGTTTACACATATTTATTTTTTCCTTCTTTCCTTTTCCCCTAGGGTCAACTTAATATCCACGTAAGTAATACAGGACCTGTTTGCATCTGGTAAATAATATGCAAACGTCATTAAAACTCGTGTGATTGCCTTTGCAAGGAAGGC